TTTGTTTTTACATTTTTTTAAATTTTCCCCGACCCCCCTTGGGAAAAGGTTTTTTTTGGAAATTTTCCCCTGCCCCCCTTGGGGGGTTTGTTTTTCCCCCCGGTTTTTAAATTTTTTTTTTTACTTCCCCAAGGGGGAGGTTTTTTTTGGGGGCCATTTTTGGGTTACCCAAAATTTCCCTTTTTCCCTTAGGGGTTTGGGGGGTTTTTTTTTTTTTTTCGGGCAGGCCCCCAAAAGATTTTTTTTTTTTTTTTTCCCCCCGATATTTGTTTTTAAAGGGGGGGTCGGGTTTTGTTTTTACAAATGGGGGGAAAACCCCCCCCCCCCCCCCCCCCCCCCCCCCCTTTCCCGGGGTTTTTCAGTGGGGCCCCCCCCCAGGGCTTTCCCGATCCCATATTTTTTTTTTGGGGCTCATGCCCCCCCCCCCCCCCCCGCCTGTTTTTTGCGACACGTCTGTGCACGAAACAGCTCAAGTTCAGTAGCACGAAGAAGGCGTGGAACCGAATCATGGGTCACGGCGGCAACATCGACATCGACTCGACGGTGGTAAGGATAGGATAGCAGTCGTAGCGTCGTCGTCTTCCGGTACCATTGCCGTCAGTCAGTACCGTTGGCGTTGTACCACTTTCGTGTGGTGCGTTGTTTTTGGGGGTTTGGTTTTTTGACACGTCAAGCAACAGCCCCAGCAATCCGAAACTAAAAATGAAAGTGTCGTTGGAACGTTTTGGGAGCCAAGTTTCTTTGCGGACCGGACACCCTTAGCACGATTCTATGCATATGATCTGATATTGTTGAATCACGATGTTTCGATTGTTGCCTTCGTCTCGGATCAATCAGGTGAGGAGCTGGGACGCCTCCAAGACTCTGGACCACATCCTCAAGGATAGCGATGACGGCACGACCAACCGATCCTTCATCGCGTGCGTGAGCGAGGTAAGCAACAGGACTGTTTTCTGTTCTCCTTTGTTTGACGCTTCAAAGGAAAAAAGTATGAACACCCGTCGCCGCCCTTCTCGCGACACAGACGAACACGGGGCGGGGGGGGCTTATGGCATGGGCGTTTTTTTTTCTTGTCGCACGGTCTCCGTTTGACGTGAATCCTGTTGCCGTTTGCGGGTGTTCTCGTGCAGGGTACGAAACTCGGGGTCTGAGTATGTCCGTAATTTGTCTACCTTCTGTCTTCGGCATCTCTTCGGCACTCTCATCCTTCTCTCTTCTCTCTCTTGTTCCTCCGTGCTCTCCCTCTTCTTTGGCAGGTGGTGGTTGATGCGGACGAGACGTGCGACGGCACGGCGCAGAACGACATGGGGGAGTGCCGGATGGACATCGTCGACAGCACTGTGGCCTACTTCGGGTACGACGAGACCGAGAGCTACGGGATCACGTGGAAGGTGACGCCGTACGTGCCTGTTAGTTGTTTCTGCCATCCCTCGAGACCCAGCCAGTAGTCTCCCGAGGATATTTATCTTGGTTTTAGTATGGGGTACGTACGGGGCGGGGTTGGGGGATACGGGTAGGGATTCGAGACCTCCCGCTCTATTTCATGGATTATTTTTCGAAAGTAAAACATAACCTCACAGAAAGACTACCCGTTCGAGATAGGACCTGTGTCGAAAGGGATGTGGTGGGGTCTTTTCAGTGCATGCAGAAATTTGTTACCTGTTGCGAAGACCGGGTCCGACAAAGCTGGAAGGGGGGTGGGTGGGCGTGCGGTATGGGACGCATGTATCCCCGTCGGTGTCTTGCATTGTGCGACGCCCCCCGGTTGATTGATGTCCGCATCGATATGTGGCAAGCGACAACACAGCTAGTGTCACTTTTTATCTCATCGAACGGCGGCCGCAAGAGTTTATCGTGACAAAATTCATGCATGCGCTTTTTTTTTTTTGTTGGCAGGTGCGCGGCCTGTGCGACGATCTGAGCAACAAGGACACGCTGTTCGACTCGGTTCGCGTCTACGGCGACATGAAGAACTCCGACATCTACGGCATGTGGTACGGGCACTACAGCTACGGCCACCTCGGCGGAGTGTGGACGGACAACCTCATGCACGGTAAGGGGGATTCGTGTTAAGAGAGAGCGGGTACTGTCATAAGGTGTGCGTGTGGGGGTTATGTAGTACGGTGCTTCGATGGATGATCTGCATACTGTACATTAATTTGGAGAAAATGGGCACATTTACGGAAATCGGCGGGGCGAGGTGTGTGATGCATCATGTAAGTTAGGCACCGCCGCTGCAAAGTCCCATCTGTGGTTTGCACACATGTCCCTGTGAGTCTCTGTGCGATCTGTGTCGTAGGCTGTAACGGGTTTGATGCGCATGATGGCGTCGGCTTGCTCCTCACCATCTTCTCCTTTGACGAGTTTGCTACCTCCCCCCCCTCATTTCTGTATTTTCAGACAACCACGTGTACGGGTTTGACCCACATGACGACAGCGACTACCTCACCATCTCTGGCAACACGTGCTACAACAACGGTAAGAGCGGGGACTGTGGCAGAGAAGATGTAGGTTGCCGATACAGATGGTTTTGTACTTAGCACCAACTGGTATCACTGATATATATCATCAGTGTATAGACTTAAATGAACTCGAAATAAGTACAGTACCCAGCCGGTTTTCCTCCACTCACGGTCAAGATACTCAACCATATCCTGTTTGACTGTGGGTATATCTCGAACGGGTTGTGTTTCTGTGTTGTGTATTTATCTTTCCTAGTAAGAGAAGGAAAACAAACATGTTTTTTTGAGCGGAAACAAAAGGCGTGGTACCTGTTACCGAAAGAGTCACAAAGTGCGCTCTTTTGCGATAGCGTGTACGTGAGGCGGAGATTCGGCGATGGTTTCGATGGAAACTCGGCAATCGTTACGCTAGTGTTTCGTCATAGTTTTGGTGTGCAAAAATACCACTCGTAGGTCCGCTTAGTGCCGCCCCGATTCAACCGCGCACTACATTGGGTGTTGCAGATAACCCTTGATAAGGTTTCATGTTATTCGTTTGTCCATATGTGTATGCTCTTGGGCAGCAATCAGACAGGTTCTCCCTTGCCCCTCATCGCATGTATTCATGCAGCAGTGCAAATATCGAAAGTCTTGACCTTTTTTTTGTCTTGGTTGTCTTGGACTGCGTGCAGGCAACCACGGCATCATCGCGTCCAAGCGGTGCGACCACCTTCTCGTCGAGAACAACGAGTCCTACGACAACGGCGGGAGTGGTATCATGCTCCACAAGAGCTGCGACGACTCTATCGTCCGAGGTATGTGCGTGTGCATGTGTTTCTTGGGATAGCATATGGACCGCACCAACCGGCTGACCAATGAAAATGGCGCGTGTGTGTAGCTATTTCTCATGACATGTTCACGTTTGTAGAACGTGCTCCCAGGATTCGCCTTTTTTTTTTTGCCAAGGGTATGCAGCAGTAGCGGAGGGATGTATGAACCCCCCCCCCCGACCCCTCCCTTCCCCTCCAGATTTACCTTTTCTCAGCGCGAAAAAACATTGCTTGTAACCGGATTTGTCCCGCCGCCCCTCTAGTACCCACGCGGAAAAAATGGCTTCAAAATGTGTGTTTACCTCCTCCTCTTGGACGTTTTGCAGGAAACACGGTCTATAGCAACGGGGACGCGGGGCTCTCTTTGGTGGAGACCTCGAACTGCGTCGTGTCGGACAACGAGTTCACGGACAACCGGTGGGGGTTCCGAATCATCTTGGGGTCTACCGGCAACGTCGTGAGTGACAGCAGTGGTTGTTGCTGTTGTTGCTGTGATGGTTGTTGTATGTCGTCGTCGTTGTTGTTATTGTTGTGGTGGGTTTTGTTGTTCGTTGTTTGCTGTTCTTGTGGTGGTGGGTTTTGTTGTGGTTGCGATTGTCATTGTGCTCGTGGTCGTTGTTGTCGTGGGTTTTGTGGTGATGTTGTCACCACCTTCAGCATGGTCCATATCCCTCGTTGGACAGCGGACAACAACATCGTTGACGGACGAAGACCTCAACCTTTTTCCTTTTCCCTGAACCCGACAACGTGCTCATGTCCTCCACTCGTGTTTCCTTTTTTCTTGTTGTTCCTGTGTTCAGTTGGACAGCAACATCTTGACGGAGAACACGTACTCCGACATATACTCGTACTATGGTGCTGACGAAGAGGTGCCCGAGGTGGAACCGTTCACCGGCATCAACACGGACAACACCTACAGGTTCGTTCGTTGGCTGGCCCCCCTTGCTGCCGCATTGTTGTTCCTTTTTTGTATTCTGCCGTGCATACAATACTCCCCTTGTTTTTTTGTTCCATGACTGTGAATCAGCGCTCGCTCGCGCACACAGCTTTTCTCCCGTGCAGGATCTCTAGTACGTGGTCGCACAGAGGCGTTGCTCCCTGCGGCCCGGCCCCTACCCACCCCTCCTGCAGTTCTTGGTTTTTTGTCGCGAGATTTTGCGGGCCGTTGTTTGCTTCCCGTTGTGGTTGCCAAAGGATGGTCTCTCCATGTCTATTGACGGCGGCCGGCACTGTCTTGGGTCGTCCGAAGCACGAGTGTAAAGTCAAACAGGATTGTTCTGTCCCCCATGGGAGAAAAATGGCAGCGCACACACGGGCGCACATTGTGTTGTTGGTCGTTGCGCAAAACACTACCAGGCCGCCCCACTCCCTCGTCTCGTTTTTTTTGTGTTTTCTCCCCGACGGAGCTGGCTGCATAGAAATAGTTGTCCTCCCATCGAAGCAGTCCACCAATCTCCATGAGCCGTTACATAGCTCAAGCACCGTCTCTATCTGCTGTAACGCACGAAATGCTGTACCACTGCTGCCGCTTTCGCCCCCTTGGATGCAAAAAAGGCGACACGAACTGCAATGGACCGTGTCCCAACTCCTTCTTTTGGTGCTTGCCCCCCCCC